GTTATCTCATGCTTACCAAATATTTTGTAGCTTTCGATCTGAGAACAATTATGAGATGTTTCAGTTAAAATGTCTGAAGCATGTTAGCGACAAATGAAAAAAAGACAGAACACTACATTTCATCATTGCTCAATCATTTCTCCCCAAAGTTGTAAAGAAGATATGTCAGTTTTGCCAAAGCAGCACATTTAGTTTTTTGAGATAAACTGAAGAAATTTGTTCCAGAGATATCAATGGTATGTACCCTGAGAGTGCTGGAACAAACTACAGAACAAAAGGAAGGCTGTGGGATGGATCAATGGCACGAGTAGCCCAATATCCTGAATCTAACACTGGTTAATAATAAAGCTCAGGGGAAAAAATGACAGCAGTAGGGTAAATATACAGGGATATTTACCCAGCTTCTTCTTCTAAGCCGCCCAGAAACATGTGAAGTGTATCTTTGTGTTTAAAAAATGCCCTTGGTATGTTTTTGCCCTGTGACTTTGTCTAATCATTGTTCTAACCCAGGCAAACCATTGGCACGCTCATCACCCCAGACAATGAACTTCATGGTTTAACCATACAGGTTTTCATTAACTTAAGTGGCATGCAATCCTGAACAAAAAAAAAGATTTTTTTTGTCTTAAAGAAATATACTTTTACAGCTACTTGCAAGTACGTACATAGTTAAGAAATTTTATAGTTGCATAAATGTTGCTAACAAATTTCCCAAACAAGACAGTTCAATCCTGTATATATGTATGTACTAATATTTTGTCACGAATGAGTAAATAACATACAAGCATCTCTTCATAAAGACTTTACGTAAGTGCCGCAAAAATTTCCAACATAACACCGTTATATCCCACATTTAACAAGTGGTTGAAGGAGAAATGTGGGAGTTTAATGTTAGCATAAAACAGGATCAACAGCTGTATCCTCAGCTCTCCATGCCTCAGCTTTAGCCTTAATGCAGCTCCACCCAAACCACTCTACAGGCTGCCCTCTGTGAAGTCCACCACTCTAAGGCCATTTCCAACTCAAGGGCTAGCGCATTTTAATGCCACAGGACTGCTTCCCTCACCCTGCCTCCATTTGGGAAGCACTTTGCTCAAAATAAAGGGAAATCTATGGCCATTGCTATCCTTGGTTCAACTCTACAAAGAGAGCAAGCATCCACAGAAACCGCTAGCACAGACAAACACGATAACCATCACGAGCATTTTATGCAGGGTCTTACAGAGAGGATCTTCAAAAGAGCAAACGTTATGCACTGCAATCTAGCCTACGTATTACCATCAGTGGTTCTATTCCAAAAACAAATGCACTAATAGTTCAAGATCATTTACCAAAACCCAAAAGGCAGTCAGATCTTGATTCATTTAGCTGTCAAGAACTCCAGTGATAACACAGCTGTCAAAGCCTCTTGCAACACTAGGTTCTCACTGACTGTCATCCACAGACACGACTTGTACAACATCAGGAACTCCCAACAGGAACAGGATTTCAATGCCCATTCTGAGATGAACCTTTCTCATAAAGTTACAAACTCCTCTCTAATCCAGAAGCTTGCCTACTGATTCTTAATATATAAACTTTAAAAGACACTAACAGAAAAGTCACACTTAACTAGCATTAATTTAAAATCCTATCATTGACCAGTCAGATCTCCACCCTGCCTTAGGACAGAGTATCAGAAATTTGTATTTTCCTGCCTCCAATTCTTTTTTTTATGGTAATGCCTATACCTACCATCTACAAGCAGTGGTCCCTAAAAATACAATGGTTCTCGACTGACATAATTTTAAGGCCTCGTATGAATGCTTGCTTCTGCCTTCCCTCAGTTACAAGGCCTCCTTGTAAAGGCAACATGCAGCCAGATCCCAAAGGGAAGTATGGCCTTTCAAAATCCCAGAGCTAATTATTTCAACACTGAGTCTATATTGCAAGATTTTAGTCATGAGAAGAAACTTAAACTGTAAAAAACAGAGAAGTCCACTGTGATAATAAGCACATTCTACCTAGGAGTACTCTATCAGGGCAGGAAGGAAGGAATTCTCTTATATTTTTCAAGCTTCAAGTCTTCAGTGTATACCCATTAAAAAAGGAAATCAAAGCTTGATTGCACAAGTTCATGTTTTCAGCACTTCTGATAGCAATATTCCCCACCCTAGCTTTAATTTATACTTCTTGACAGGAAATACATACCGCTGAATGCCTCACCAACAATCCTTTTTGGGGGTTTGCACGAAATGTTTCAGTGGTTTTGTAAAGAGATTTAAGTCAATTGCACAGCTCACAACTAAACACTGTCTCCGAAGTAGCTACCTCTGAAGACATTTCTCTACCACCATTCTGAAGAGCATGAATTACAGTAAAACACAACAGGGAGGAAATTAGGACACAGCGATACCATCAAGTACATGAGTCACAATTAGCTTCGTATTAACTTGTACCAGGTTTGAGATTCAGCTTATGTCTGTCAGGGAAGAGCAGGCAGATAGTGTTAAGAACACACAGAAGATCTGGGGACTGCTCCTTAAAAGGTTTCTTGAGTAAATCACTTTTGTGTAGCTAGCACAAGTATCTGGAAAATGCACTTGTGTCAATTACGTTGACAATGTTAGATCTTTCAAGTACACCTAAGAAACAGATGTTCCAGTCTCACAAGACATGAAGACCCAACACCTGCCCGCTCCAACAAGCTGCCCCAACGTGAGTCACCACACAGGCAAAGCACAACTGCTCCCCGAGAGCACAAGTAATTGCCAAAAAGGTGGGGAAAAAAAGATGTATAAACCAAGCACACAGCAGGTACTCACACGAACAGCCTTCTCCCAAAAAAAGAAAATTCACTTACAGCTTCTTTTACAGTCTACTGCATGTTGGGTTTATTACTTTTAGCAGGAAGTTTATTGTTGATGTGCCCCTTCACATGCAAAGAAACACGGCCCAAGTTACACCAAGCAGACACTGTCAGCAGCCAACAGTCCCACACGCCGGCTC